GACATGATAAACATTTCAAAATGTACTGTACATCGCATATTGGCTGAAAATTTGGAGATGAGAAAGCTGTGCGCAAGGTGGGTGTAGCGCTTGCTCACAATCGAACAAAAGCAGCGTTGAGAGGATGTTGAGTCAAAGTTCGAATTGCTTCCCCACGCACCCTATTCGCCAGATTTAGCCCCCTCGGATTATTTTCTCTTTCCAAACTTGAAAAAATGGCTCGGTGGTAGAAGATTTACTAACAATGAAGAGGTAGAGTCTGCGGTTAATGGCTATTTTGAGGAGTTCAACGGTTCTTACTATAAACAGGCCATCGAAGCTATTGAACATCGCTAGGAAAAGTGTATCGAGTTAAAAGGAGACTATTGAGAAATAAAGATATTTTTTCCCAAATTTTTTATGTTTTCTTTGTTAGGTCAGGTACTTCTGGGACCACCCTCGTATCACCGATCTAGCAAATATAGTTATAGAAAATTTAGAAGGAAAAGCGTTCCTTACTACCGCGTTGTTTATTCTTTTATTTTAGATATACGAATATAGACGATATATTACTTGTTGTTCCTCCAGACAGTCTTAATAGAATATTAGAAATTTTTAACTCGTTCAAACGCCTTCAATTCACGCTTGAAGTGGGCACTAAGAACAGTCTGAATTTTAGATGTAAGACTTATTGTTGACAAGCATAGAATTATATTTGACACATATAAAAAACCAACATTTTCTGAAAGATATCTTAATTTCCATATACAACATCCTGCCTGTCATAAAATAGGTGTAATTTTTAATTTATTTGACAAAATTTTCTTTTTATCTCATCCGAAATTCTGTTTTTAGAATATCATTTATCTGATACAAGTTTTGTTAAAAAACTTGGATATCTTCTTCCTTTTATATTCTCTTCAATTCAAATGAGAATTAAATGTTCTAACAATAGCAGGATCACTAAAAATCAAGTAAGAGATTATAATAAGTTATTTAACTGTATCTTTTGTAAGGACTATCTCAGAATCTTTTTTCAATATAGCCAGAAGTGTTAATAAAGTCTACATTTACGATTCCGAACACTCTGAAAAAATACATCACAACTAGAAAAAATACTCTTAAGACAACAGCACATCATGATGTCTATAAAATTCCATGATTGTGATGCATCATACATTGGCCAGATAAAAGGCAATTAAAAACAAAAATCGTAGAGCACTTGTCAGATATTAATAAAAAAATCAGATTCATCAAGTGTTATATCTAATCACCGGACCGCATTTAATCATAATTTTGATTAGAAGAATGTTAGAATCTTAAATAGCGAACCATCTTATAACAAAACACTAATTTTCAAGATTTTTATTAAGAGACAAAAGAATGGACTTAATTTACAAAGTGACAGAATCATTACCAGAAATATACTCTCTTGTTATACAAGCACTTTCCCCTTCCTGAATGCTTCCCATTATTTTTTCTCTCCTTTCGAATCTCCTCACTTTGTCACAATTGTCGATCTGTTTACGAGGGTCGTTTGAAAAGTCCGTGCAAAGTCACTGCTGATGGCACTACTGGCGCGTATCAAGGTTAGATTTAGTTAGTAGCATCTCTTGGAGGAACACACACCAAGTTACAGCCAGATCGGTCTATTTGTTTGTGTTTGGCATTCATTTGAATCGAGGAAGTCGAGTGATTTTCAATAACGCACCAGCTCACACCTCAGCAGTTGTGGTCGCAAAATTAATGGATTAATGTTCATATTGGGGAACAAATAGTAGTCCGAGGGAGCCAAGTCTGGAGAGTAGGGGGGATGTGAGACGAGTTGGAACCCTAATTCCATTAATTTTGCGACCACAACTGCTGAGCGGTCCGGCGCCATGGGCATGGCCTAGACGGGTCAGTCTGGAGAAAGGGCACGTTCTGATTGGTCGAGGAGTGAAGGGAGGGGGTAATAGGGTAATTGAATGGTGTGTTCTTTATTTATTAGTTCGCCCTACACTTGCCCAAGATTTGATTGGTTCGCTCCATACCTACCCAAAAGGTATTGGAAAGGGTGGGTGGTAGAGGATCTTCGACAAAATGGAGGTTTGAAAAATATTGAGTGGAGATTGGGACTGCAGCATTCTTTTGTCGCGAGGCTAGAGTACGAACAGCGGAGGGGGTGAATAGCGGTCGAATTTTATGACGGTCGCTTTTGTTCTCGCGGAGCAACATCTCTATAGGCGTTTCAGTGAATGTTATTAATGTATGAGAAAGGTGATCTTATACGAAAATTTGCAGGTCTAGAGAGAGACTTGCTTTGTTAGGAAGAATTTTGGGGGGAGGTAAAACAGGAACGAACATGTTCAACTGTTGCGGCGTGTCGTCTCCGATGTGACGACTCACTCGTTTGAGTGAGAGTATGATTTCTATGATGTATGGCACGGATTTTATGAATTGTATTGTACTTCTTGTACTTTATTTAAAAGTTTATATGTATAACACGGAAATAAGCAGAGAAAAAGTTGATTATTGGTAGGTATGAGTAATTAAGAAACAGGGATTTATGTTATGAAAATGTATTTATTGATACAAATTTTTTTCAAAGAAGAAGAAATAGATAGTTTGTATGAGAAACTAAAAAAAATTTAGTAAAATTGAGCCAAAGATTCTCGCTTCGAGAGAATTATATGAAAAATTTCGTTATATCTTAACAAAGTTAATTCCAAAAATATTATATTAAAATACATATCAAGAAAAGCTAAGTCGTTAATTTGTGTACGCATATTACGTTCTATATCTTCGTAATTACCACGCAGTGTTAATTTTACAATTTCCTGGTTAATAAAACATGCGGGTAATTTCAGTTCGATTTCTTGAATTAAATATAAAGCATACTTGTTAACATTATCGGATAAAAATTCTAATTGTTTTAAACGCGCATCGACGCACTTTACAATGCTTCGCAGCCCGAGGAAGGTGGTTTTCTGCATTACAACTATGTTGCCGCTATGTAGGTTCTCCGTTTCTTTGCCGGAGGAGTTGAATCGAGCGCGTCCTCTTCTTTTCGAAGATTTCCGTTGGGATTTTCCTCTTCTTCTTCATACGCTAGCAATATTGATTTTGACCCGTAAGATGTGGTAAAACTGATGGTGATATTTTTTATAACAACAAAGTTAGGTTTCACTATGTTATCGCTGCTTAAATACTCGTTCATGAGTTCCATGTTATCTTGAAACTGTTGCCAGCAGTCGGCGTCAAAATAAATTCCGTCTGCGTTATGCCCGCTCAATTTTACAACAGGTTTAAAGATTTCTCCGTTCGTTCTTTGCAATCCTACGTGAATCGTCTTCGTATGAGAATTGTTAAGACCATACGTTGTTGCTAATAGCATATGAAATCGAGCGTTTCTTTCGTCGATGTCGTTACGTAGCTTGTAAGAATCGGGGATGGAATACATGCTCATGTTCGAATTATTAGTATTTTTTGGACTGGCCATTGTTCTTACGTCGTAGTAATACCAAATTCAGCAAACTAAGATGGCGAATAAAAAAAACACAAGAAGCACAGTACTTGTTTGCTCGCGAAGCTGAAGCTACAGACGACGAGACTCGAATAAAACGGATTTTCGTTAGCACCGACGACATCACCATCCTCTCCGACGCTGCGTAATAAAAATTATTCTGCACGCGCAGATGAAAAAAATAAAAACATAAACTTTTTCTTAAAAATTTAAAATAATAATATTCTTTACCCCGAAGTCAGCAGAGGAGATGAGAACAAGATAAATCGAGAACGAACAGGAATGAACAGGCGCGAAACGAAAAGTTATTCCTCTCCTGGTTTTCTATGCCACGGCGGGGGAGGAAGGAATTTGACTAGGTGAAAAGAATGAAAATTTTTTGCTATGAAGGAAAAAATAATTGGGGGAGGTTTAGGTCGTGAGATAGTTTCTAACGAATAAGATTTAGTACAACTATAACCCTCGAGTTTCTTTTAAAAAGACACGAAAAAATTTATGAAATGTCTTCGATTTAAAGTAAATTTACGATTGGTTTTATAGCGTTTAGAAAATTCATTAATTCAAAGTGACAGAGGTACGGCACAAAAATGTTGAATTCAATTGGAATAATGTAGGAAATTTATTCGTCTTCCTCTTTTCTGAAACTTTTGTGTATACTCGCGTGGGAAAAAATAACGTGTAGTATATGGAAATTTAGAAGATACAAAAATTAAATATTAGTTATATTGATAAACGTGAGAAAAGTTTTAAACGAGGGGAGTTATGTTCAATGTTCGCTATGATTTTTCCTCATGACGAGACCTTGAAGAAGAGAAAACAAACAAAAACCAACTGATATTGTCGATCAAGCGAGATACAGAAATTTTCATTAAAATTGTATTTTTTGTTGAAAGGCTTAATATTTATCAGTCGTAGACTAATATTATGTGAGAATCCTTTCCAGTAAGAAGATACAAAAAGCAGAAGGAAAAATTTAAAACGTGAGATTCGTCGTAATAATAAAAATTATAAAGCGAGGAAAACTTTTCTAGGTAATAATGAAAACGTGAGCTAAAGGTTCTATTAGGGTAAAAGAGAAGGGAGCGATGCTTTTCGTGATAATTTGTATGGGATCAGAAAAGGTGTTAGATCGGGTATACGGATGGTCATAACTTAAAAGTTTTTGTCATCCCCGCTTCTCTAAATTTTGCGAGAAAATCACTTTTAATAAAGGAGGCGGTTGATTACCAAAATCGTCAAAAATCTATTGACCTATGAAGGGACTAGGAATTTTTAGCGAATCTTTTCGTGGGAGAGGAATTTTTATGAATATCGCTACGGGCATAAATAGCACGCTCTGATCGAGCTAAAGTTTAGTCCTACGTTCAAACTCCGAAGTGAATTTTACTATTTGCGTGATTCTAATTTTGCTTAAAAATGGAACTTCGCGGGTTACTAAGGAAATTTTTCATCGTAGCTAGCAACTTAAATAATAATTTAATTGCTGGCGATTATCTGACAAAGTTGTCAGATAACGATGAAAAAAATTATTCCGTTTTCGGAAATTTTGTTGGTGAGTGTTCCAGTACACTAGTGTGTGTTATGCATAAACTGGGGCATTGCGGTGCTGACGAGAGATTAAAAAAATATAATCGCACGTCATCTTGAAATACGTAAGTGCTTTGGTCACGAGGAAGATGACGCTGGAAATCACATAGCTGACTTCAAGCGACGCATTGGACTAAGAGGTAAGCATATAATAATTTTTAAAATAGAATCTAATACGTATTAGAAATAAAAGCTGACTTTATAATTAATAAATATTATAATTAAATTATAATATTTATTTTATAGAAGCCGGGGCGTGCGATACCGCATCGCAGGGATCGGGCCAGTAGGACGACTCGCTTTAAGGAGACGTCGCCTCTCGGGAGAAGAAGAGGAGGGAGTACCAGCGAGTAAGTTTTAGAGAAATAAATATTAACTAAACGATTATAGAAATCTTGAATGTTAAAACATTTTATTTTTTTCTAGGAAGAGCACGAATCGAAGAGGATAACGATGTTCCGTCTCCGCATGACGTCCCCGTCATTGTAATCGGTAGGTATTTCGCAAATACCCGAGAAATCTAGTTCGTATAATATAGATGTAATATGATAAAGAATAAAATCAATTTTGATTTAGATGATGATGATGATGATAACGTTGATGACGATAACATTGATGGGGATGACGGTATCAGTCCAGCCGATTCCAGAGCACTGGTCTCGCAGGTTCCACAATTTTCACAACGGGTAAGTTTTAAAAAAAAATAAATTAGATGAATATAGAGAGAGTTCGCTATATACAGAGTTCAATAATAATAATAATAATAATAATAAAAATTACTTTTTAGCTCAGGAAACCGAAGAGGAAATGATAAAGGAAGAAGTGGGGGAAGAAGAGGAGGAGGAAGAAGAAAAGGAGGAAGAGGACGAGGAAGAAAAGGAGGATAACATTATCGATCATGATGATAATGATGATGATGACGATGATGATGATGATGCTGATAATGATGACAGCGGCGATAATATATATATGCTGCCGATAACGTGGAAGTCATCTCCAACGAGAATAGCAACGTCGATGACAACGGCGATGATGGAGAGGAGGAGGAGGAGGAGGAGGAGAAGGAGGAGGAGGAAATAACACAGGAGGAGGAAATAACAGAGGAAGAAGATAGTACATATTACGTGCCTCTTGGAAATGAAGGTAATAATCTTTTTATTTTTTATTTTAAATTTATTTGTTGCTCGAGATACTTAAGCAGACATTTTTATCAGATATTTCGTACTCCCCCGTTTTACCTATGTTGTCGGAATATTAAATTACATAAAAGAGAAACATTATCCCTCCA